TTGGTGAAAAAATTATCTCTTGATATAGATTTGATGAAATGATTAGAATATACTTTTTGTTATTTTTTCATCAAATTTAAATTTGATGAAAAATTATAAATAATTGAAAATGCTCTAACACATTCAACAAATAAATAAATAAAATTATATTCTCATTAAAAAAAAAAAAAAATGACTGGGCCTCTTAGTTGCACCGGCACCCCAAATCCCGTTTGATTGTCCGGATTAGATGTAAAGATTTTAAGATCATATATAATACTTAGGAATAAAGATGAAATATAATATGTTATAGGATATGAGATGAATTATATATATTGTGAGATCACTTATGCTACACTTTATTAAGGGCTAGTTTGGCATATATTAAATAAGCCAAAAAGCTAAAAAGTCACTATCTTATTTAAGTCACATCATCTTATTTAAATCACATCACCTCTCTAACACATCACATCAAACCCAACCCAAACCCACCAATAAGTCAAAAAGTGTACTTTTTTAGGACATCCCAAACCAACCCTAAGATATGATATAGGATGGGACAAGAAGAGAGTGACTATTTTTAACTTTTAGATGAAAGATGAGCAATATCCAATGGTGGAGATATATAATACCATGGGGGTGGTATTACATATTCTTTTTTGCATTATGTACTATCAAGACTTCTTATATCCGGAGCAACCAAAAACAGAATATAAGAAGGCAAAAAAAAAAAGTAAAACTGACCTTGTATTATATTCAATCTCATACTCATATCTCACTTTTATATCCAATAAACAAACAGAGCCCTATTGTAATAATTGAAAGCCTATGTTTGTAAGTCATTCCATCATTTCATTTTGCTTTATAAATCATGACTTTAAGGATTATTTATATGTATGTTGCATAAAGTATAAACACTTTTGACTTCATAAAAAAACCTTTTCTTTTTTCTGTTTTTTTTAAATAATTTTAGAATGATGTACGAGTTGAAAACAGTAAAAGGTGTCATGATGATTCCATTTATATTGGGTGCATCATCATTTCATGATAAAAAATAAAAAATAAAAATAAAAACAAAACAAAACGAAACAAATAATAATAAAGTGCACCATTAAATTGGATTATGTAGTCCGGAATTGCTTATCTATACATATATAGATATATAATTTTTTTTTTTCAAGTACAGCCGTGCACAAATAACAGATATCAGCAAACTCTACTTTCACGGTTCACTTTGGAGAATGAGATAAGAAATGTTTAAAATAATTAAAGATAATGAAAATATATATATGTTTTGAATTTATTGTTTAATGTCTCGATTTATTTATTGTGCTTTAAAAGTACTTGTTATTAAGTTCCTTAACAGTTTCAATCTTTATTTTCTTTTGAAATTACATTAAATTTAAAGATTCAATAATTATTTAATCAGTAATAGCTGAGGGTCACAATTTTTGTGGCTCAAATAACTTGAAATTGTCAAAACGACATCGTTTTAAGTACAAAATAACTTTGAAATTGTCAAAACGACGTCGTTTTAACAATTTCAAGCCATTTGAATCACAAAAATTATGACCCTCAAACATTTTTCTTATTTAATATAGAGAAGATGAAAAATTAAATGTACTTGGGAGTTAATCAGGCAAAATCACAATTACTTTTATAAGTAATAAAAAATATGAGTTTGATTAATCATATATCAGGGAGAGAAATGATAGCACTGGGGACAAATGATGTCACTAGGTGTTAAGTCTTCAAAAAGGAAGGGAGCTGAATGGGACCTGCACATTGAAAAGAGGAAATATCAAATAAGTGGTATTTTTAAAAAATAATTATAAATTAATGATAAATTTTATAAATATTAATAATTATACTTATAATTTTAAAAAAAAAAAATTACACCGGTGTGTAGTTGCCCCTATTGAAAACAGGTTTTGACAAAATTGAAAATTCATAAAATGAATAAATATATTTAAATATGTTTTGTTACAAGTTATTATATTATCTCTTTATTTTTTTATATATCTTTTTATAAAAAGTTAAAATATCACTAAGTTCTAGTTTGACTATCATTTTGAGGTTTAAAAGGCACAAAATGACAAAATATACTCAGGTCTCGTTTGGAAACATGTTAATTTAGTAATTTTTTGGCTATTTGACTTAAAATATGAACTAAAAAAAAACTAGGGCAAATTACATATACCTCCCTCGAGGTTTAGCTAAATTACAGATACCCCCCTGAGGTTTCGGAAATTACATCCCGCCCCCTGAGATTTATATTTTCATAACAATTTGCCCCCTAAGGTTTATATTTCATAACAAATTACCCCCTAATTTCTTATGCAAATATAGCATTCAGGAGGGAATTCGTAATTTCTCAAACCTCAGGGGTATCTGTAATTTAGCCAAACCTCGAGGGGGTATATGTAATTTGCCCAAAAAACTAATATGTTTGAGATGAATTTTTGACTTTTTACGAAAAGATGTGTAAAAAGTAGAAAGAAAAGAGAATTTTTGACTTTTTGGTATAAGTTGTTGGCTTTTTGACTTTTTTAGTGACTTTTAATTTTTTGACTAAATGGGCCGCTCTCCAAACGAGACCTAAATAAGTTAATAAGACAACATATCACATTTAACCCATAATCATCACTTTTTATCTTACAAAAATCAAAAAATTCAAACCAAACGAGACTAAAAAAGTTTCAACACAAAAAATTAACTATATTAGCTAATGCCAAACGAAAGTAAATCCAAACACATATGTTGGTGGATTTTGTTGGCCCCCCCTCCTATTATTTTATGGCTATATTTGGCATGAATGGTTTGGGTTAAAATAGTCTAAAAAAAAAATAAAATAGGCTAAAAAATAATAAGACAAAATGTCACATTCAACTCATAATTATTTTATTTTGGGCAAATTACATATACCCCTCGAGGTTTGGCTAAATTATAAATACCCCCTGAGGTTTGAGAAATTACAAATTCACCCCTGAATGCTATATTTGCATAACAAATTAGGAGGTAATTTGTTATGAAATTTAAACCTCAGGGGACAAATTGTTATGAAAATACAAACCTTAGGGGGCGGGATGTAATTTCCGAAACCTCAGGGATATCTGTAATTTAGTCAAACCTCAAGGGAGGTATATGTAATTTGCCCAATAGTTAAAAAATTTAAAAATCAAAAAATCAACTCACATCTCAAATGAAAGTTATGTTGTGCTTCAAGTCCCCCCCGGCGGAATTTAAAATTAATTATCAAACAAACTTTTAATAATTTATTGGGATGACTTAAATTTTTTTTTAGATCTTATCTATATGTTTTTACCTCTAAACTAACCCATTTTTGTGTACCTGTGATTTATTTATTTTTTTGCATTTTTTTCTTCATCTTTTTTTCTCCGTATACCACGGATTTTGATTAAGTATTACAAATTGTAAATTGTTGAATTTTGATTATTGGTAGAATGCTCATTTCGTGACTTTTCAATAGTCATCTTCTATTTTTTTTTTCTTTTTTTTAAAAAGACTCATGTTCAATTTTGAAACTATAAAGATCGCCACTCACGTTTTAGCTATGAGTACCGTAAATTTTAGGACAAATCTTACTGTTTAAGCTCTTAATTACACAATTTTGCTATTTTAAAAAATATGTATTTTATCAATTACTTGTCAATACAAATGGAGTTTGGTCTAGCTTTTTTAAAAATATATTTCTTTTCCCTAATGTTTAAATTTGAACTTAATTTGAATTTTATTTTAAATAAATATTTAATTTAAAATTGACAAGGAACTGCCTTAAATGTCTTTTTTTTTTTCCTTTTTTTTCTAGTAGAATTGTTTTTATTATAAAAATTATAAACATGGTTGTTAGTTTTTGAGTTATTCATTTTTTGACCAATTAATAACTTTTTTTTAAAAAAAAAAAAGAAGAAGAAGAAGAAGAAGAAGGAGGAATTTCTTAATTTTGTGTAGAATCAACATAAGTATGGAAGAATCGACTTGATTCGTGTTGGTTTACTCCAATGTTATTATCACCTCTCCGTAGGTACCAAGTAATTTTGTTGACATCTTCTTCCAAAATCCAACCTCATATTGACATTCACACTTCATAGTCACGTGCGTGTACCAATTCCCAAAATTTTGGAGAAAATTATTTGTGTGTACAGAGAAAACACATTTCAAATAGCGTGTCAACATTTTTTAAAAATTTATAAAAATTACGAAAATGATGTGTTGGCATCACAAAAATTTCATACTTCAATATAAAAATTTGAATAAATTACACTTTGTATTAAATCTCATTTTAACCTCTCATTTTTTAATTAAAATAATTAATCATCACACTTATTGTCAAATTGTAATTTCAAATTTTTGTTAATTTGTTGTTAAATTGTTTAATAGAAAATCTCATGTAACGTTTACGTGAATCATTTTTTACTCCTCTATATTATATATTTTTTGTCTACTATATTGTTTAAGGAAAACGTTTCGGTATGCAAAATTACTTAAGTTTTTACAGAGTTACCGAAATAATCTTACAAAAATGTGTAAATTAAACACAAATTCATGTAAATTCATGAAAATTTAAGATTTATGTAAATTTGTATTCAATTTACGTATTTTTATAAGATCATTTATGTAAGTTCATGAAAATTTACATAATTTGGTGATAAGTTACATACGGTATATATTGTACACCAATTTTTTATTTTAAACTCTCCACCACTAATCACCTCGTTCCTAATATATTTTTTTTTTAAAATAAAATAAAATATGAGAGTAACATGACAATTTTATCAAATAATTTAACACCCTCCTAACATATGGTTACATTATAATTTGATTGAAAGTGTAAACAACAGGAGTTGATAGATAATGAATCAAAATAAAGTATAATTTATCTTTAAAAATGAAATGCAAAAATTATAGTATATTGAAAGCACTTGCATGGAGGAAAAAAGGGGGGGTTTTCTTGATGGCGTGCTTTGACCCAATCACGGTCCTTCTAGACTGCCTCTCTCAACGGTCAACCTATCTCACCTTCATCCCCGTACCCAACCCAACCGTACACTCCCATTTCCTCGTCCTCACCTCTCTATTATGGCGGCGAAACCAATATAAAAGCTTCACACCATTGAAATTCAAAACCAAAATCATCATCAACAAACTGTCTCAACAAATCATCAGACATTATAGTATACCCACTTCTCAAACCTCGGTTATATAGATCGATCAATTGACATGTCTGGTGGCGTGAAGATAGTGATCATCAATACAGAGTATGTAGAAACCGATGCCACCAGCTTCAAGTCCGTCGTTCAGAGACTCACTGGCAAAGATTCCACTGTGGGGTTGGGCCGGGGAGTTGAGCCGACTTCTCGGGGCTTGGTTACCGGAGGAAGGGCGGTGGTAGAGGCAAGTGAGGTCGTTGAAAGGTCCGGTGGTGGTGGCAGTGGTTCAATTATGTCAAAAGTAGTGTCGTTCAAGGATTTTGATAGAATGCTCATGGAAATGCCGCCTATGGATGAACTTTATCGGCTATTTACGGATTGACGCGGTGGGAAGAGGTTAAATTAGTCCAAAAGTAAAAAAATCTATACAAATAGTTAATTCAATCCTAAACAAAACCTGAAATTCTTTGTGTATTCTTGTTAGATTATATTCAGACTTTTTCTCTCTTTTTTTTTAATTTAAATTTTTGAGTGATTACATCATATTGATTGATTACTAAAATGTATACGATTTAAATTAGACTGTTTTGTTACGTGTGTGTATATGAAATTTTTGTTGAATGCTTTCGAATGCGAGCTTTATTGTTATGAATACTTTTGAGTACTTTAGGTAGTTGCAGACGAAAATATGAATGGGAATGTCAATAAATTTCACATTAATTTTTATTACTACTAAAACAAGTATTTATTAATGTGCATTTTCCTACTTGTTATGTTAGTGTGACAACCCTCACCTCTGATTAGCGCTAATATGTGATTAAGCATGATAAGTAACTGATTAGAATGAAATCCTAAATTGATTGTAGGAGTGTATTGTTCTAAATGTATTTCTATCTGTTTGATTTCTGAATGAATCTGTTCACGTTTTAATTTTGAACTACAAATTGAAGACCTTATCGGCGGCCGAATCGGAAATTGATTGGTGTTATGTGTTAATTAGAATTTATGTGATTTTATGGTAGATTTAAATGAAATTTGATTTAAAATGATTAAATTAAATTAAATAATGTTAAATTACATTAATTCAAGTAAATTACCTTATTGCCACTTAGTGGACAATTCTAGGCCATTGTTTATTCTCCTTGTTATATGTTAGCATCATTTTCATCCATCTTCCTAGGCCAAAACCGAAAAAAAGAGAGAGAGAGATAGGAGAAAACTTGAGTTCATCAAAATTGGCTTGGAAAATTAGAAGGAATTGAAGGGAATTTGCATATTTGAGCTTCCACCCTTGGAATTCTAGGCATAAGGTAGAGAATTCATCCTTTTATTTATGAAATTAAGTTGCATCTTGCATGGTTCATGGAAATATTGGAGATTAGAGTTAAGTTTTAACTCAAAGTATTGAATTATGATGCATTGTGTGCATGCATGTCCATATCATAGTGTTTTGAAGTCATTTTCATGAAATTCTCACATACATGTTTCTATTTTGGTTTTGATCCATGAATTGATCATATTCTTGAGCTCAATCTTGCATTTTATCATGCCTTAGAGCATTAGAGTTCATAGGAACTCATGCATGTATGATTTTGAATTGTTTTTCTGTTAGCACCATAAATCTGCAATTTTTATTATTATTTATTATTTATATAATTGCAGGACACGTGGCATTCTCTTATTCATTTGGAAGTTAAAAAAAGTTATAAAGATAATGGAGAATATGAAGGACAAAGTGGATGAGTGGAATGACACATGGCAAGACAAGAATGAAGATGAAAGAAATTGGTAGTTACTGAGTAGTTATTGCTGTATTTTTTCTTCTATAAATAGCCATTAATGGCTACATTGTAAAGGATCCAGAATTCATAATCAAAGACACTTAATTTCAATATTTCTTATCATTTTCCTTATCTTAGGAGTAGTTTAACATAGATTTATATTTCGAAGCATTTATTTTCAGCATTTTCATTTCGATGCATTTTATACACTTCCTTTTCGAAGCATAGGAGTAAAGGTAAGTAATTATTACTTTGATTGTTCACTCAATCGTCCTTCTCCGTCCCTCATTCTTCTTTTAATTTTTTTTTTCTCTACACTTTGGCAATTTTGAAGTCCTCATTGTTGAGGCAAAAGAACCATCAACGCAATCGCTTAATAATTGGCTTGAATTTAATCTGTAAGGATTTTTCAATCCTTGCTGGCACGTTCGCATTTATGATATTTTCTTTCGTAGGAAAAATAAACCAACAATTTTTGGCACGCCCGGTGGGACAGCCAAGTGTAAAAAATGACAAACTATTTGGATTTCGCCATTCAAACTTGTCAATATGAAATATATTGGCGTGAAAGAGAAATTTTGGATCTTCAAGAAGAGATCCATTTTCTTGATGAAATAAACTTTCATCCCTTACAATATTATTTGGTGGAAGAAAAAAGACACCATTTAATTGGAGAAATTCATCAACTTGATATGAAAATTCGCCAATGGAATGATGAGTTATCAACTCTCACTACCAAGTCTTTAATTGAGGCTTTAATGGCCGGAATTGGTGAATTTTTTCAGAATTTTTCCATGGTTAAAAATAGCAAAAGCAAAAAATTGATTTCATCAATGGCTCGAGGGGTTCAAGAGTCCGTTTTAAAAGAGCCAAATTATGAAATTAACACAACGAAAAGCATGTTCTTGAGCCAAATTTGGCTAAGAATGATGTTCCATGTATGACTCGGGGGGTCCAAAAACCAAATTCTAGAGAGTCAAGTCATGAAAATAGCATATCTATGGGTGATTTTCATAAGCCATTAATAGCTAACATGGAAAAACAACCCACTTTGCCAAATAATTATGAAAACCTATTTGGCAAAAGTCATGTTTTTAAAACAAACATGGTCAAGAATAATGAACAAGCCACTGTTCATGAATTCAAAATTTTTGACATTTTTCAAAATGTCAAAAAGTATGAATTTTCATGGTCACACTATACCATGACTTTTGGTGTTCAAAATCCTTTTTGAATTTGTGGTTCACATCAAAATATAATTTTGATGATAAACCAAACCAAACCAAACCAAACGAAGCCTTAAATCCCATCAAATGGGGTCGGCTACATGAATCCTTCTTCTCCACGCGGCCCTATCAAAGGCCATTTCATTGGTCAAATTAAGTAGATTCATATCTGTATTTATAACGCTAGTCAACGTTAATCTAGGCCTACCTCGTCCCCTAACACTTCCATCTATACCGTTACAGCATCGCATCTCTTCACTACTGCCTCTGTTGGTCTCCGTTGAATATGACCAAACCATCTCAAACGATTCTCTCTCAACTTATCTTCTATCGGTGCTACTCCTACCCATTCCCGAATACACTCATTCCTAATCCTGTCCTGTCTAGTCTTACCACACATCCACCTTAGCATCCTCATCTCAGCCACACTCATCTTATCTACATGTTGTTTCTTAGTTGATTGGGGAAAAAAAAAAAGAGGAGTGTGACGTGCGTTTTGATTTATTCAAAGACTCTATTCACAATAAGAAGGTTGGCTCTCAAATTCCTAAATCCTCACTGATATTTGAATTCGACTTTATTGGTGAGCTGAAGTTGTTGAAAATGGCCACCCATCCTCTACACCGTTTTCGCATCATTTTGTCTCTGACATTTTGTTGCTGACGACCAAAACACTTTTTCACTGCTGATGACCAAAACACTTTTTCGCTAAGAACATTCACATCGACCTCGCTGATCACTCCATGTAGTTAAAAATGGGTGCCAAACGTAAATCGATTCGAATTATTGTTTTGTATTATGTTGAAATTCTAGTTGTCAAATTTGCAATGGCTTATAAATACCGAATGTGAAATATTGTATTGTGGATGGACATATGGCTTTAATTTTGAAAATCTCAAATTTTAGTTGTGAAAACATCAAATACCATAGGTGGAATTTTGGTGGAGTGATTATGTAGCTATGTGAAATACACAACATGTGTGTCTTGGTAAAATATTTTAGATTGTTGATCTTCACATTGTATTAAGTATTATATTTGGCTTTTGATTATATTTTGTTTTGTACATATTCCCATTGTGTGTTAATCATCGTTTTTTTGAATATTCACATGTACATTATGATTTCATCACATGTTCACATAATGGAATCTGTGGACATTTTTCTCGTTATGGTAATGTGAATATCGTCATTGTTTTATTTATGATTTTTTTGAATGTTCATATTATGAAATTTGTTGACATTTTCTTCCTCATGATATTTTGAACATTCATATTATGAGTTGCTATTGTGAACATTCATATTATGAATGTGGATGGTATTTTGAACATGGAGTATGTTAGCATTCACTACAAGAAAATCAGGCAAATAACACGGAGGTTTTTTGCGACGGGGTGACTGCCGTCGCAAAAAATGGTTTTTTGCAACGGGGTGTGTTTGCTGTCGCCAAAGAAGTTTTTTGCGACAGGGTGTGTTTGCCGTCGATAAAAAATTGGACTTTTGCGACGGGGATGATTCCGTTGCTAAAGATTGTAAAAAGAAAATTCCAAAAACATTGGCGACGCACGGTATACCGTCGCAAAAGTGTTCTTTAGCGACGGTAAGAAGTTACCGTCGCAAATGGTGGACCATTTGTGACGGCAGAAGCCCATCGCCAAAAACGAAGGATAAAACGACGTCGTTTCATTCGTTAATCATGATCATTTGCGACGGTTAAAATATACCGTCGCAAATAAATGAATATTTGGTTTATCCCGCTATTTCTATCCCATTCGCGGTTGAAGTCCCTAAAATCCCCAAATTCCTCAAATCAAAATCCCTGAAACCGAAATCCCTAAAATCCCCCAAATCCCAATCGACTGATCCCCAAAATCCTCAAATCAAAATCATTGAACGACAGCCTTCGCCGGAGTGACGAGCAGCCGCGACGGTGAACGACGAGTGACGAGCGGCTGTGAGCGACTGTGAACGGCCATTCTAGGTTCGTCTTCTTCCTTTCGAAAATGATTCCTTTACATATTTGTCTGTTTTAGATGGTTATGTGCTCGTTGTGTTGTGTTTTTGTCCTCGGTCGAAAATGATTCTTCAACGAAATTCGATAGCCACTCTAGCTCAGCTAAATCGTCATACTGTCAAA